AAGTTTATGTGGATTTAATGCCCCCAACAACCTTTTAAGGAAGGCATGTTTTTACCTCCATTTTACGGATGAGGAAACTGAGGCACAGAAGCAGTAAGTTCTAAGTCACAGAGCTAGTAACTGAGGAAGCCAAGGTTGAATGCACAGCCTGGCAGTCAGCTGTTTACCCATACTTCACCTGATGTGCTCAGTCACTGCTGACAGTAAATCTCAACAAAGAGCGGTGTATGAGTGAAGAACCCAATGGGTGAAAGATAAGGATTATATGACAGTATTGTATGTATCTAGTTTATACAACATCTCCAAGAAATTAGATACTGCATAGATGTTAATTTTCCAGCTTATTAAAGGTATTCCTTTTGGTTTCTTTATCCTGGGCTATTGTTTATCTTCTGTGATTGGTGAGATTATGTTTAATCGTTCAGGGGTTTAAAAACTTTTTTGTTTTATAAAGTAAGAACTCTGGGGGTGCCTGGGTGGCTCAGTTGTTTAAGTGTCTGACTCTTGATCTCAGCTCAGGTCATGATCTCACAGTTTGTGAATTCGGGCTCAGCATGGACAGTGTGGAGCCTGCTTGGGATTCTGTCTCTCCCTCTCTCTGCCCCTTCCTTGCTCCCTCTCTCTCTCTGTCTCTCTTCCTCTCGAAAACAAATAAATAAACAAACTGAAAGAAAAAAGTAAGAACTCTGTTTTAATGAAAAAATGTTTTTATATGAATTACCTCTAAATTCAATCTTGTATTTTCCTGCCTGATTAAATAGTGCATGACATATAACTCAACCTTTGCTTAATGTCTAGCATCATCACTGTGATTAAAAAATAGTAAGCCATCATATGAGCCTGTGATGTCCTGGGGCCTTGAACATTGATAAGATTTATTAGATCCACTAAATACCACGGATCGTATCAGGCACTCTCAAGTACAGTTCCTTAATTAATTGTCTAGGTCTAAGATTTGCTTTGCCATTTTTTTTTTAACCCTTGCTTCTATTTCTGGAAGTTTCTTCAGTCTTCTTGGACACTGTAGAGCAGTAATCGAGCACTTCTTGCTCTCAGTCTGCTGTTCAGCTGGAGACCACCCTGCTTCTAGTTGACTATCGTTGATGAGCTGTGGGGGAGACTTGGGTAACCAGACTTGTTTGTATTATTATTATTAAAGCCCCTCTCCTCGCACTGTGGCCTCCTTGTGGTTGCCAGAAGACAGGGGGCTTGGGAGGGGAAACATTCTGGGTTTCCTCCATCAGTTGCTATTTTGACAGGGAGGCCCCCCACCATCCCTTTCCTTGGCCTCTGCAGAGCAGGAGACCACTTCTGATGGCCAGTGGCACCGTGTTCCTTCAGTTAGAACACAGGCCATATGTCAGTCATGCCTCAGGGCGACTGGTGGCTGTGGGAAGTCATGTGGCTAGCTGTGAATGACCTGACGTGGCCCCTTGGCGCCTGCCAAGGGAATGAAGTATTTTTATAGTTTGGTAATCCGTGCTTTGAACTTCTGAAATTTATTGAGAAAACAAGTCAAGTTATAGTGCTTCAAGTGATTGGAGCCTCCACGATCGATTTCCTTTTAAAACACTAGGTTCTTATGGGCTAAACGATAAAGAAAACACTTAAAAAGTCATCTCCAGAGTCAGTAAACACAAGCCAATGTAAGTGAAGTAGACTTGGAATTATTCAGGCCTCTAGCTCATGACATCTGGGTTCAGTGAAAAAAACGTTAAAAGCCTTAGCAAGGTTATCAGTTTTCATCATTAGTCAGAAAGCTTGGCAAAGTTGATCCCTGGGCTTCTGCACCTGGGTTGGGTCCCAGCTCTTGGCTCCTTGGCCTAGCTTTCTTTGAGGGCAAGTCTGAGGGCAAGTTGGTTTTCACCCTGGGGACACTTTTTCTATTTCTGGTTCCTTAGTGGTCAGCGAGGCCACTGCGGGGTCCTGGGCCGCAAATACCAAGAACTATGCCTAGAAAAGGCTGTTCCCTTCACCCTCACTACAGGGAGGCTCTGGGACTCACCAGTGGGGAGGGGTGCCCCTCTCTTCAGGCAGAAACCTTGGTGCAGGCAGGGGTTTGCCTTGAAATGTCCTCCTCCAGCTCTAACAAGTCACTTTGCGTTAACTTACGTGTAGAGTCAAAGAGAACCTTGGACGTGGATTCAGGTGACCAGGATTCCACACCTGGTTCCCACACTTGCTGGGGAGTCCTGGGCTAGTTTATCTGAATCTCTGTCAAAGAACTGGGTTGTGATTTCTATATAAAGGTCTTTGGTTACAAGCAAGACAAGCTATCTCTGGCTAATTTAAATGAAAGGGGATTTATTTGAAGGCTATAAAGTGGGTTACAGATTCCAAGGAGCAGCTGGGAAGAGAGGACAGCTTTAAAGGTCCACATCACAGGAGTGCATGGCTCATCATGTGTGCACCACAGCAAGAGGAAGCCATCTTTCTACTGTGTTTTGCATCTTTTTTTTTTAAGTTTATTTATTTTGAGGGACTGCCCCCCCCCCCCACTGCCAGCACAGAGTCCAATGTGGGGCTCAAACCCACAAAACTGTGAGATCATGACCTGAGCTGAAACCAAGAGTTGGATGCTTAACCAACTGAGTCATCTAGGCGCCCCAAATGTGTTTCACATCTTAAGGCTTTGTGCTCAGGATCAGAGGCCTAGGGAATGGAACTGGTCCAGCTTGGGTCCCACACCACCACCCAGTGCAGGAGAGGAAGGAAAACGGAGCTCCGAGCAGAAGAAAAGGAAATGAATGAGTGTCAGACAACCAGAGTCTGCAGGTTTCATTCTGTGGACGTTTATGAAGCACCTGTTGAGGGAGGCCATGTGATACAGTGGAAGAGCACTGTGTGTGATTTAGAACTTAGCTTCAAATTCTGACTCTTCTGATGCCCATCTGTGCCCTTTGTTTCCACATCTCTAAAAGTGGAGCCAAAATACTTTCTCTGTCTGTACCACGGGCTTGCTGTAAGGACTGAATGGAATCAGATGAAATCGTGTGGTTAAACCCTTTGAGGAGCTATGCGGGGTCAGATATTTATCTATTGCACATAGCTTCGTGCTTCATGATGAAGAGCAAAGATATCTGTTTTGATGCATATATGTGTATATGTTTGCTTGTTATTTACTTGTCTCTTTTTATTTTAAATTCTGGAAAGTGAGGGATACAAGTTTCATTAGCTTGCTTGGAGTACCTGAAGCATCAAGAGAATTCCTTCGTAATCTAAACGATGTCATTAAGCAGTTTACAAAGACCTGGTACAGACAGCCAGCTCCACCAGTGTTCAGAAAAGGCCGGTTGTGGTCAGGAAAGGCCTTGGAGGAGGTGGTGGGTAGCCTTTGTACCTTTGTCAGAATTATAAACTCTTATAGATTAGCCCTGTCCCATAGAAATACAATGTGAATCACATATATAATTAAGATTTTTTTCCAGTAGCCACACCAAAAAAAAAAGCGAAAAAGAAACAGGAGTAATTAATCTGAGTATTTTTTATTTTACCCATTGTATTAAAGTACTATTATTTAGGGGCACCTGGGTGGCTCAGTCAGTTAAGTATCTGGCTCTTCATCCTGGCTCAGGTCAAGATCTCGTGGTTCCTGAGATTGAGCCCCACATCAGGCTCTGCCCTGACAGCATAGAGCCTGCTTGGAGCTCTCTCTCTCCCTCTCTCTTTGCCGCTCCCAACGCTCTGTCTCTGTCTCTCTCTCTCTCTCAAAATTAAAGAAGTAAACTTAAAAAAATAAAAAATAAAAATAAATAAAATAGCATCATTTAAAAACAGGTAATCAATATCAAAAAATTAAGGAGATTATTTTACACTCCTTTTTTTGTGCTGTTTTTGAAATCTGATGTGTATTTTACCCTTACAACACATCTCAGTTTCGATAAGCCACAGTTCTACGGCTTAGCAGACACATGGCTACTGGGTCAGACAGCCGAGTCCTAAATAAAACAGGAAGAAGAAAAGGTAAGCAGCAGAGGGAGAGAAACAATAGACACAGGAATTTTGTGACCATCTACTATGAACCAGGCAGGGCCAGGACTAGCATAAACCATTGGATGAACAAAGTATCAGGTCCTGTTATTATTTAGAAGTTTGATGGTTTGTTCATCGTGGATGTTTTTGCATTAATTTTGATTTTTCAAAATGTATTGCAATATGATTTACCTTCAGTACTGAGTGTTCTGGCACCTCTTTCATTTTGTACACAAGGCAAGTGCCTCACACCCTCCTTACCCTAGTGATGCCCTGGCTCCAGGCCCTTTCTGTGAGCTTTCTAATACCTCATCTGGGGGCATGAACCTGAACCAAACTGAACTGCATACCAAAAACAGGAGTGAACTCCTCTAATGTCCTAAGTCTTGGGCACTTATTTTGTCAAATGAATTTTGAACTGAATTCAAGCTAGGAATAAAAAGGCTTTGGAAAAGAAGTTGAAATTCAAACTGATCTATGAGTTGAAAAATTTGAAAATATTTTGGGAGCAAACTATCACTCCAGAGAGAGTTCAATGGCCTTGATTCCCTGGTCATGGTGACCCTTGACCATCCCATTTCCCAAATGGTAGGGGGAAAGAATGAAAAGGCCAGTGTGTTGAGAGGACTGTATCCCAGGACTTATTTCCTTCCTACATGCCAGCTTTAATCCCTAGTTGTCAAGGGATCAGTATCTGTAAGCTCTCTAGAAAATGATTATAGTGGAATGTCTTATTGAAAATAACGTCCATGCTAAAAGAAAGGTAAAGTATTGCGCTTTTTTTTTTTTTTTTTTAATGTTTATTTATTTTGAGAGAGCAAGTAGGGCTGGGGCAAAGAGAGAGGGAGAGGGAGAATCCCATCGGCACTGTCAGGGCAGAGCCCAATGCGGAGCTCAATCCCATGAACCGTGAGATCATGACCTGAGCCGAAATCAAGATTGGATGCTCAACCAACTGAGCCACCCAGGGGCCTCTTGCTTTTTAAAGTGGTGCCTATTTTCAAACAGAATGCTTTTCTTTCTTTTAGGGAACTTCGAAACAAAGCAGATATTCAATTTGGAGATAATGGAACAACAATATCTGCTGTTAACAACAAGGCCTATGTTTTTGAACGAAATCAATCTGTTGGAGATCCTAAAGTTGACTTAATTAGAACGTTAAATATTCCTGCAGTGGTAAGTAGGCATTTTTAGTATCATTATTGTGGCTTGTAAGAGAAAGGAAAAAGCCAAGTTAAAGCTGTTATGGGTTTTACATTTAGGAGTTACTAAGTTATGTTAAAAATATACAGATGTAAAAATATAAGTATACTTTTTACAGTTTCCTTCCTGAAAGTTCATCTGAGACATTTTATTCTGAGGTTTCTCAAGCAAGATTTTTTCAGATGGTGACAAAATGTGAATTTTAGGATTTTCCCTCCCACGGTTTCTTGCTGTGTCTTGGGGATCAGCTCTTGTTCAAATAAACATGTCTCTAGGAGTTGGGGGGGGGAGGGAAGGGAGTGGATAGCCAATAATTTTTTAAAGATTTATTTGCCCCTTGTTTTGGCTCAGAAAATCTAGCAACAGAATTTGCATACACTTCTTAGTTTAGATTTCCATCTTTGATTTTTAAATTCTCAAAATATACACTGATATCCCCCCACCCTTCCCAAATAGCAGAGACTGGGCTGCTCACAGCCTAGGGGGATTTCACTGTCTGTGTTATGACAATCCCATCCAAGAAAGACACGAGACCCTGGAAACTTTCCTATTCACCCACAGCAACCCCTCTGAGGCTCCCACTCTAACTACAGGGTGACAACAACATATGCAGCTAAGCTGGACACTCATGGTGGACTCAGGAGGGAGAAAGTATTAGATCCCATGTTTGGCCCTGCCCTGCTGCCTACTTGGCGGGGGAGGGGGTGGGTGCAGGCAATCTCTGGCTCCCATCAGAGGGGAAGTGGCGCCCCCTTGTGGCCAAAGATGCCAGTGTATTCACAAGCGTTTTTCTCGTTGCATCTGCAGTGCAGGGAGAATTGGAGAGCTTGCAAGTGGGAACGCTACACTCACACTTACAAAATATAATACTGAGAAAGGAACAATAACTGCAGAGTCTCATTTGTGCACGTGTAGCCAAGGAGGATCTCTCTGGCTGACTTTGCAGCTCTTCAGTCTTAACATTTACTTTTAAGTTTCCAGCCCTTTTTGCTGAAGGGGCCATAGGAGAGTGGGGTGGGAACTCTGCCATCTGAACTTGCCTGTGTTTCTCAGACTGCCATGGAATGGGCCCAGCTCCGCTTCCTCCGGGAGCTCATCGAGGCCCTGCTGAAGGCCTATCAGCAGACGCTCTTTGTGACACACACCGTGGATGAACTGCTCTGGGGCTACAAAGATGAGATCCTGTCCCTCATCAGTGTTTTCAAACCGGAGATCTCACCCTATTTTGGCCTGTACTATGGGGTAAGTTGATCTTTCTTTTTAGATCCTTTTTTTTTTTGAGGGAGCATGGATGCACAAGCGGGGAAGGAGCAGAGGGGGAGAAAAAGAATCTTAATTAGGTTCCATGCTCATCACAGAGTCCCACATGGGGCTCAAGCCCACGACCTTCGGATTATAACCTGAGCTAAAATCAAGAGTCTGATGCTCAACCAACTAAGCCACCCAGGCGCTCATAGAGTCTCTTTATTCAGGTGATGAAGGGGCGCTGCTAGCCAGATTTCATCTTCATTTTGAGTGTCTTCCAGAAAAAAAGACCAAAATTGCTTGGAATTCTAGATGTCTTGTAGAGTATGTGAAAAACAAGGAAGTGTTCTAGTTTTTTAGGTGGGGGAAAAAAACCCTTCTCCCACAATTTCAGCATGCCGCCAGCCGTGACTTTGAATGAGGGCAGCTATGAAAAATACAGAGTATGACTGTGCCATTAATCAGGTGCAATCTTTCAAACTATCATAAATTTCAGTGATAGGTGCCAAGTCTTCATTGATGACCTAGGGGCTGAACCCATGCATTAGCCTGACAGAGACAAGAAACTAAGTAGGAACATGATAGTCCGTTAGAGGTGGGAGCTACGTGTTAGATTTTTCAGACATGTCATTCGTGAAAGAGAATGGATAATTTGAAACTCTGTGTCCCTCATCTATGATTTCTTATGCTTATAAGTGGAATTTTGTGTGGTTCCTTGCAGATTTTATTCACTTTGGCTTGAAATAAAAAATATATCAACATTCAAGTATTTATTATTCAAAGCATATGTTATTGCTGTATGAGTTTCAAATGAACTAAAATTAAAAGCAATTTTAAAAATCCACATTCCCCTCTATCTGTCCCCCCTACCAAGAAACAAAAAACAGAAAGCACTTGAGTAAAATGGATAGTGGGAGGTTGCTAATGACAAACTTAACTCAAGAAGAAAGTGACAGGTTAAGGGTGGGGTCTGAGACTGTGATGAATTTCCTCACCTTTAAATTTGTTGTTATTCTCTGGTTCTCACTACTCAAGAATCTTACTCTTATCCTGTTATATCCTAGAGTGTTCCTCTAGGGCAGATGGTGATAATGCTGCCCTGTGCATTCAAGAGTATACAAAACTTAGAAGCCATTCAAACATAATAGTGAAAAAGTTCTTAACATTATGTAAGAGGTAGGGGTCCTAGAAATAGGGTTCAACTCACCTTGAATCCTTCCCTCTAGGGGAGCAGAATTGATAGATGCTGTCTAGCAGATCCCATCTTGGGGTGCCTGCGTGGCTCAGTCGGTTAAGTGCCAACTTCAGCTCAGGTCATGATCTCTCAGTTCGTGAGTTTGACCCCTGCATCGGGCTCTGCCAACAGCTCAGAGCCTGAAGCCCGATTCGGATTCTGTCTCCCTCCCTCCCTCTCTGCCCCTTCTATTGCCCCAGTCTCAAAAATAAATAAACATTTTAAAAAATTTTAGAAGATCCCATCTAAAAGGAGCCCAGCTTCCATAAAACCAGAGGAAGCACTGATTTCTTAAGCTGTGACTAGACATCCCTTCTGGAAAAAAATATCTGGTGAATTTCCAACAGAGATACAACAAAGGTTACTTTAAGGCCCTTCGGGTCCAAGTGGTTTCTGTCCACCTGCAAGGTAGATCCTGTTCCTAAAACCTCAGTATTTTTCAGGTAATTTTTCATTGTATAGCTTGCTTTTTGTTGTTGTTGTTTTTACATTACTGACTTCTAACTAAGATCCTTTTGTATCTTTTTAAAATGTAACCCACATTTATGGACTGGTTAACGAATTGGAATTTTTATTTTCCCAAAGCAAGGTTGTATTCTTTTATGTGTTTATTTATTTATTAATTTATTCATCTCGCTGCCTTGCCCTTTGTCGCTCCTTGTAGACATTGTATCTTCACAAAGCTCTGTACCATCGCTCAGTTAGATTCGTACCTTGAGTGCATATCCCACATCCAGGAATAGAGCATAAGACTTGGAATCAGAGTGCCTCGATTTATGTTCTGACTTTTTTCACTTAATAACTATGGGACTATTTCTAAACCTCAGTTCCATCATGTGTAACTTGAGGCTAAAAGTATCCACACTTCAAAAATCGTTTTGAAAGGCTGAGAAGTCCATAAAAATGCTTCATAAACTCTAAATCACAGTACACATGTCAGGAACTGTTACTCCTTTTTCCCTTCATGACTGGCTCCCAAGATGACCCTGAATTAACATGACTGCTGTATCTTTTCCATTTGGGAGCCAAACAGACTGTGTGCGTGTGGTTGGTAAAAAGGCAGTGTTTCTGTTCAGTTTGTCCCATCTGCTCTGGTCAAATACTGATTCTTTAGCCAACGGCACAAAAGTTCACACTTGAGCTGTCATTCATTCAAAGACCAGGATAGGCTGAGGAAGTACCCTCCTTCCGAAAATCTTTCCTTAGTTCTGCTGGTGTCGTGCCAGCATCCCCCTCGGATGCCCCAGGCTTGTGTGCCTGCACCATCTGCTCCGCTACATGCAATGAAGAGAGAAACCTTGGTTAACGCGTTGAACGCTCTTCCTTCTAGTAGGAAACAGCCAAACAATTAATGGGGAGGGACAGCGTGTGAGAATGAACAGGATGAGTGAATGTAGAACATTGGCACAGAGCTTTTGAGAAAAAGGGATCTGGTTAAATATCACATGCTCTTACTTCATATTGCGGGGCCAGTCAGCATATTTTTACCTACTGATATTAGGGCACTTCTGTTCTCCTCCACGTAAGAGAGTTCAAGCACCTCCCACTAATTGTGGGTCTTGCGTGTATAAAATATATAGCCGTTAGAAAGTGTCTTTGAGAGCTCAGCCAGTCCAGTTGGTCCTTCGGTGGAGGGGGCGTGGGGTTTTGCTGACATCACACTAGTGGTATGACTGTGGTAGTCTGTCTCAGAGCACCTCTCCATCTCCTGCCATAATATGTTCCTTGTATCCAGCCCACATCCCTACCCCGATAACACAAAACCTATTTATTCCCGACTGTCCTTCAATAACAAAGGTTCCAGCAAGAGACAGGGAAGCATTCACATGCAGTGTCTGACTCTTGGGCAGAAAACAATTGGAGAGAACCCTTTCTGAATTACTGTGAAACATTTAAATGCTTAACTGCTTTGCTTAGGCTAGATCTGAGTTAAGGGGAGGACTTCAGGAAATAACATCCCTTCATTTTTTAAATTGGTGGTTCGGCTTTTTTTTTAAGAGTATTTATTTATTTTGAGAGAGAGAGAGAAAGAGAAAGCAGGAGAGGGGCAGAGAGAGAGGGAGAGAGAGAATCCCAAGCAGGCTCTGCAGTCTCAGTGCACTATCAGTGACATGGGGCTGGAACTCACGAACCGTGAGATCATGACCTGAGCAGAAATCAAGAATTGGTTGCTTAACCAACTGAGCTACCCAAGGGCCTTGGTGGTTCAGCATTTTTTATGTGGAGTATTTGAATTTTTCTCTAAGTTGTTGTAATGTTCACATTGCTGCTCCTAGAGAGAAGTTCTTTGTCATATCTTTTTAAAAATTTTTCTTTTAATGTTTATTTATTTTTGAGACAGAGGGAGAGACAGAGTGCGAGTGGGGGAGAGGCAGAAAGAGAGGGAGACACAGAATCTGAAGCAGGCTCCAGGCTCTGAACTGTCAGCACAGAGCCCGATGCAGCGTGTGAACTCACAAATTGTGAGATAATGACCTGAGCCGAGGTCAGACGCTTAACCGACTGAGCCAACCAGGCAGCCCTTTATCATATCTTAAAGTCATGTAAAACTTCATGTGGGAAGCACAACATGACCTTTATGGATGTGGTCCATATTGATATATTGATATAGTTGGCAAAATAATGTTAAGTGACAGAAAGCAGAACCAAAGAAGGCAAAAAACATGAGAAGAGAATTCACAAAGGGTATGAATGTTTTTTAAGGCAGAGAGCTGAATTATTTGAAAAAAAGCGTTCAAACTCAGTGCAAAAAAAGACAAGTCCTATACTTTTTTTTGGGGGGGGGGGGTCGTTCATCTAATTAACAAAGCTTAGCAAAAGTAACTTGGGGAATGTAAACTGATTTACCACACTATTTCCACCACTCTCCAGCTGGATGACCTTGAGCAACTTGATAATATGTATCAAAAGGCTTAAACATGTTCATGTTCTTTTCTCTAGTAATTTTACTTTTATGAGTCAGTGTAGAAAACAAAAATATTGACAAGGTTTTTAGGCATAAAGATACATAAACATTCACACAACATTATTTGCAGTAGCAAAAAATCAAAATTAAATATCCAACAATAAGAGAATAGTTAATTATTTCTACATAACGTTGAGGAGTGATTAAAGTATACCTATGAAGAACTTTTGGTAACATATAAAATATGCTAAGGAAAATACACAATTTGTGTGTGTGTGTGTGTGTGTGTATACATACGCATACACATATATATGTATACAGGATATATATATATTCACACATATATGTATACATATGTGTCCATGTATATATATATATATGTAAACATATATACATACATAATTGTGTTTATGTATAAAAATTGTGTGTATGTATATTACACATATATATCTTAGTTCTATAAACAAATCTTGTGTGGAAAAGATACTGAAAAGAAACATACCAAAATACAAATAGTATTTTCCATTGGTTAGGAAAATGATGAATAATTGACACCTTTTTATACATCTTTCTGTATTTTCTAATGAGAATTTATTACTTTTATACTCAGAAGAATGTATTATTTCTATAATCAGAAGAGAAATCTATTTTATTTTTTTTTAATGTTTATTATTTTGAGAGATAGACGGCGCACAAGTGGAGGAGGGGCAGAGAGGGAGACACAGAACCTGAAGCAGGCTCCAGGCTCTGAGCTGTTAGCACAGAGCCAGACGTGGGGCTCAAACTCACGGACCACAAGATCGTGACCTGAGCCGAAGTCAGATGCTTAACCGACTGAGCTACCCTGGCACCCTGAAAAACCTATTTTAAAAAGAAAACAGAACACAAGTACATTGCATCAACTTGTTATCCCAAAATGCATCTGTGTTAATACCCAAAAATATATCTGTGAAAAACCTCCAAAGATAGCCTAGAGCAATGAAAGTAAAACAGTCTTTGGTTATTTTATTATTCTTAGTTTGTCTACAAAGTGCCTGTCACATCATATGCATTTAATAATAAACATTAAAAAATGAAAACAATTATAATAATGGTATTAGAGTGGATGCACCACAAAGGCAGCAATTTGTGTCCATTTTGTTCACTGATATACAGTGCTAGATACATGGTAGGCGTTCACTAAGTGGTTGCTAATAAATGAATGAGGCCCACAGCCTGGTAAGCAGATCGGCCTGTGGAGTGTGGGGTTACATAGCTGGGCTTCAGTCCTACCTAGCTCCACCATTTGCTGGCTGAGTGATCCGGACAAGTTATTTAACTTCTCCTTGCTTCAGATTTCTCATCTATAGAATGAGGGTAAAATGGTGCATGTCTGTATTAGTTTCCCGTTGCTGCTTTTACACATGGCCATAAATTTAGGGGCTTAAAACAGCACAAATATAATTATCATCTTCCAGTTCTAGATCTCAATAGCCGTAAAATCAGGGTGTTGTCGGGGCTGTGTTCCTTCTGGAGGCTCTAGGGGAAAATCCACTTCCTTGAATTTCACAGCTTCTAGAGGCAGCCTGCCTTTTTTTGGCGGGCACCCCTTTCACCATTGCCAAACCAAAAGGGAAACATCTTCACAGTCTCTTTGACCTCTGCTTGTCATCGCACCTACTACTCTGACCTGGCCCCTTGCCTCTTTGTAAGAAAACTTGGAGTACCTGGGTCCACCCACGTAGTCCAGGATACTCTTCCCATCTCAAGATCCTTAACTTAATCACATCTGCAAAGTCCCTTTTGCCATGTTAGGCAACATATTCACAGGTTCTGGGGATTAGAATGTGGACGTATTTCTGTCAACCACACTGCTTTATGTGGTGGTTCTGAGGATTTCATGAGATAATTCATACTATAATTTTAGACCAGTGCCAGGAATATTATAAATATTCAATAATTGTTAGCTCTTATTACTTTATTATTATAGAGGAACTAGCACCCATGCTATTTCCCAGATATCAAAGCTCCAACCTCACATAGAGAATTTGTAAAGTTGTATAGATTATCTGTATGTGCCCTTAAGAAGTGTAACTTGGAGAGAATACATAAGTGAAGAAAGCTTTCTTGAAAGCCCCAAGTATATATTGGGGCGCCTGGGTGGCTCAGTTGGTTAATCTTCTGACTCTTGGCTTCGGCTCAGGTCACAATCTCATGGTTCGTAGGATTAAGCCATGCTATGAGTGCAGAGCCTGCTTGGGATCCTCTCTCTCCCTCTCGCTGCCCCTCCCCTGCTCATGCGTGCACATGTGCACACACTCTCTCTCTCTCTTTCTCTCTCAAAATAAATAAACAAACTTAAAAAAAGAAAGAGACAGGGGCGCCTGGGTGGCTCGGTTGGTTGAGCATCCGACTTCGGCTCAGGTCACGATCTCGCGGTTTGTGAGTTCGAGCCCCGCATTGGGCTCTGTGCTGACAGCTCAGAGCCTGGAGCCTGCTTCGGATTTTGTGTCTCCTCCTCTCTCTGCCCCTCCCATTCTCATGCTCTGTCTCTCAATAATAAATCAACGTTAAAAAATCTTTTTTTTTTAAAGAAAGAAATAATGGGACTATATTAATACAACTTTCTTTTGTTGCAGCTAACCTACAGTAGGGTCCTGGCCCTGGACTTATGCTTTCTTATTTTTCATTATTGACATATAATTCACTTACATATAATTCACCAGTTTCAAGTGTACAATTTTGTGGTTTTTAGTATATTCATAAGGTTGTACAACCACCACCACCACTGTCAAATTTTAGAACATTTTCATCATCCTCCCCAAAAAACCACACATTTGTTAGCAGTCACTTCCATTTCTCCCCTTCCACCAGCCCTTGGCAACCACTAATCTATACTTTCTGTCTCTATGGATTTGCCTATGAGTCTATAGAACTTTTTTTAATAGTTAAAAGGTTTGTGTCTTTTTTGTTTTTGCTTTTGTAAAGAAAAGTAAGATTATTGTTTTGTTTGAAACAAAACATAAGTAACCCCCCACACCTGCCCAACCTCTCACCTGCCCCGTGGGGTGCTGAGACTGCTGGTGCTGAGCAGGAGGCCAGGCTGGCCCAGGCTGAAGGAGAAGAGCCAGAACTCTCTGTGTGAGAGCTTCCTCAGAGCCCGAGAGGAAGGGCATTTGGGAATGGAGTTTGGCTTGGTTAGGCAAAAAATAAAATTAAAAAACTGAACACACATGCCCACTATTATACAAATGGTGGCCAAGAGGTTGGAGCCATCTCTGGCAATTGAACATTTCTGTAAATGGAATCATACCATATATGACCTTCGTATCTGACTTCTTCTATTTAGCATTATGTTTACAAGATTCATCTATGTTGTAGCACGTATCAGCACTTTATTGCTTTTTATGGGTGAGTAATATTCTATTGTATGGATATACCACACTGTATTCATCAGTTGATGGATATTTGGGTTGTTTCTACCGTGGGCTCTTATGAATAATGCTGCTTTGAACATTTGTGTACAAGTTTTTGTATGGACATTGAGATGTATATTTGGAATGGAATTCTCTTGAATATATAGGGAGGAGTGGAATTTGGGGTCATAGAATTTTGGGTTTGTGTTTAACTTTTTGAAGAACCACCAAACTACTGTCCACAGCAGCTGCATCATTTTCCATTCCCACCACCAGTGCCCAAGGGCCTCGATTTCTCCACATCCTCACCAACGCTTGTCCTTTTCCTTTATTTTTTTATGTTTAAAAAAATTTTTAGCATCATCCTGGTGGGTGTGAAATAGTACTATGGCTTTGCTTTGCATTTCTTGAGTGGCGGATGATGTTGAGCATCCTTTCATGTACTTGTTGGCCATTTGAATATTTTCTTTGAAGAAATGTCTCTTCAAATCCTTTGTTCATTATTTAATTGGGCTCAAACTTTTTGAAACCATAAAGTAGTAGTATGGTTAATATGGCATTTAGTCAAACAGTCATTCTATATCTTAGTTCTGCTTCAGTGTTATGTAGCAGTTAGCCTCAACTAGGTTAGTTTTGTGAAGATTAAGTTTCTCAGTTACTGTATCAATTAGGGTTCTCCAGAAAAACAGAATGAATGGGAGAGCTCTAGCTACATCTGTAGTATCTATCTATCCAAGAGATTTATATGTATTAAGGAATTGGTTTGTGCAGTTGTGGCGCAGCAGGTGGCCAGTCTGAAATCCCTAGGACAGGCTGGCAGGCTAGAAACTCAGGCAGGAATTCTACATTGCAGAACTGAGAATTCCTTTCTGTCCAGCAAACCTCAGATTTTGTTTTTAAAACCTTCAACAGATTGCATGAGTCCACCCACATTATCGTTGGTAATCTTTTACTTAGCCAATTGATTGTAAATCTTCATCATGTACAAAATATAGCACCATCTAAATTAGTGTTTGACCAAACAACTGGGTACCGTAGCCTAGACAAGTTGACACGTAAAATTAACCACCACAATTTCTTAAAATGATCGTGTTCACTTATTTTCAGAAAAATGGGACTAATGATGGAGACTATGTTTTTCTAACGGGAGAAGATAATTACCTTGACTTTACAAAGATTGTGGAATGGAATGGAAAAACGTAAGTGTAATGATTTTTATTTTTAATTATTTTTAAAATTTGAATATACTTTTTGAATATATTTAAAATTTGAAAATTTTAAATTAAAAAAATTTTTGCTTAAATTGCACGTCTGCTTATGCGTTATTTCAAAAGAATTTTAACACTGTCATTTTTTGGGTGTCACGCTTATAAATATGTAAAATATCTTTATAATTACTATTTTATAAATCAGGATTGGGGCAACACACTTTACAGATGAAATATTAGTGCTTTGTACATTGATCCTCAGCCGGGCATGAATTACAAGCGGCAACAAGTTTCACTTTCCTCGTGGTCATTGAATTGATGTGTAGCTGCAACACAGATACTTTAAAACCACTTTGTTTGGGGGCACAGGGAAGAGTTTCTCTTTTTAATTTAATTTATGATTGTGTACTGTTTATGTGTTTTTCTTTAAAGATAAAATACATTCGAGTTCACCATTATGGTATTTCAGAAATATTTTTTTTTTAACATTACTAAGAAACAAGCTATTTCTAAAAAGGAGCTGAGGCAGTTTGTAGTAAAGCCACGTATAAGACAAGATGATTTCTATGAGAGGAATTAGAAACCTCAGAGAGAAGAAGAGGGTAATTCTTTAGGGACTGAGGCAAGAGGAATTCTGTTCTTGAACATTAAATTTATATCCAAGCTTCCCAGAAAAAAATGGTGTGGAATGTAGGGAAACCCTCTGTACTATCTTCACAATTTTTCTGTAAATCTCAAACTATTTTTATTTTTATATATTTTTAATGTTTATTTATTTTTGAGAGAGAGAGGGAGAGAGAGCGAGCATGAGCAGGGTGGGGGTGGAGGCAGAGCGAGAGGGAGACAAAGAATCTGAACGAGGCTCCAGACTCTGAGCTGTCAGCACAGAGCCTGACCTGGGGCTCAAACTCGTGAACCTTGAGGTCATGACCTGAGCCAAAGTCAGATGCTCAACCAACTGAGATACCCAGGCACCTCTCAAACTGTTTTTAAATAAAAAGCTTGTTTAAATTTTAAAAAGTACACAAATCCATGTACATAAACATATATTTGTGCATGTGTACACACACAGACAAACACATACACCAAAATAAATAAGATCCCTGAAAGAATATGTGAGAAACTGGGAACAGTGTTGCCCCTGGATAACCAGGCTTCTGGCCACAGGGAAATTTAGGTGTAAACAGGATATAGCTGGATTTTGTTTTAAACTCAATCTGTTGTTTTCTTCCCAATCTTTCAATAGCAGAGTGTAATCCTTTTAAATACTTAATATAATAATTGACACAATTATAATATAATGATATGTTATTTAATATATTGGACTTTTTTCTGGGTTATGCCTATTCTACCCTCAGATTTTAGGGTTCATACTTAACAGTTTTTGCTGACAAAATTGAAAGTTGTCTATTGTCTCTTCTCCTCCCAAATAGGACGGTAATGTTACCCATTTTGTAATACATTATACCCATCTTCCATGCTGTTCTTGCCTTCCAACTTGTTTCATGTTCTCTGGAAGCCAAATATAAGCAGAATGTTTATCACTTTATACTAATTAATTAAATGTACCAATGTATTTTATTAATTTTTTTCTTTTTTCTTTCTTGTGCATTTTTATTGAAATTCTACTTAGTTGACACACAGCATGAGATTAGTTTCAGGTGTAAAATGTAGTGATTCATCACATCCCTATAACAACCTATGTTGTGCACT